TCAAGTGACACTATTTTCTAATGGGTTTCTGGCCAGTGTATAGACCTAGCAGTCACAGAACAGAGTGACCAGGTCAATAGATTTCTTAAGGCCCACTAAAAAGGGCTGTCAAAGGTGTGGAGGGGGCAGACATGAAAAAGGGTAGCTAGAAACTCAAAGATACCACGTTTGACCTAATGGAAAGCATCCTGTGATGAGCTCAAAACCCACTGGACTTTCCTGAGGTTCACTACCCATTCAATGACCCTCTGGCTGGATGCCTGCCTACTGGCACTGTGCTAGGGGTGCAGGGTAGGGTGGGGTCATCGCCGCACAGGTGAGCTAACACAGGTACAGAAAACAGTTCTAAGAATTCAGATGGAGATGATTTTCCCTGAGGAACTTGGGAAAGGCTGAAACAAGGAAGGATTAGCATTTAGTCGGGGCAGCAGAATGAATCTGAATAAAATGGCAATAGAACAATCCAAGTAGGTTACTTACTGCAACTAAAGTTTGCTGAAGGAAGAAACCCACCCTATCTTAACTCCAAAGATTCCACAACAGATTCCTGTTTCTCTGGTTGATCTTTCTTCTCTATGTTTTACAAACTAAACCATTGGAAAAGGAAAACTCTCTAGTAATTGCTATCACTAGCAACTTTCTGTACAGCTCTTTCATAGACCTACTGAAGGCTCTTCTACCTGATAACCCACTAGGTCCTTTCAGGACATGTCCTAGACACTACTGGGCCTCTTTGTATTTCAGAACAGCCATGGTCTCGGGCTGTGTAGCGCCACATGCACATTCCCCCGCTTTCTCTGGTCAGCTTTTTTAATTTTTTTTTTATTTTAAGGATAAAAGGAGGGAAACATTAACAGACATACAACATTTTACAACATATCACAAGCACAATACAGACAATACAGAGTTACAAACAAAGTGGTAGGGAATTAACAATGGTGGTTGTATTACATATTGATATCTTCAAAGTGGCTTCTCATGAAAACAGATACAGACATGCAATACTAGTCAACCAAAGACTCATTGACAGTTTCTTTCAGCATAGTCTCTGGTCAGCTTTGAACCTACTTCTTCATGACTTACTCACTCAGCCAACATTCACTGCCTCATCCCCAGGGACATGTCCATGGTGACTCTAGGCACCAGATTGAAGCACAAAAAATAAACAACCCCAAGACAAAACCAATCAACAAACCAAACTTCCCAAAATGTTGATAGTAACTATTACCCACACTATGTGTTTTATAGATTTCCTTTTTAGCAAATTTGTGGAATTAGCTAACTGAACTATATAGCTAAAAATTTGATATTTTAAAACCTAAAGAAAGTACAGAAAATAATCTGATAGTCATGCATACACCAATTACCCTCTCATTTAACATATTAAGATTTTATCATATTTGTTGCATATGGCTCTCTTACATAAAATTTTACAGATTGGGTTAATGCCTAATTCCTTGTATCTTCCCACTTTCTTTCTTTTTAGAGGTACCATTATCTTTAACTGGTGTCATTCCAAAATGGATTTATGCCATGCCCTGGATGCAAAGGAGACCACTGGAGATCGGTCTGCCCTCTGAGGTGGAGGCCCCAGAGCTCAGACCCATGCTACCAGTTAGTCCAACAGGAATGAGAGGGCTTGGGGCATGGTCTGCCTTCTCCCTCTGGCCAGACCGTCATCTCCATCGAGGAGTCCTGGGTAATCATGACTATGGAGGAACAAGAAAACAGCCTGTTGCTAGACACAGGTGCGAGTCTCTCGGTCCTTCTTTTCAATCCTGGCCTTCCTTCCAGCCATCATACCTCAGTGAAAGGAGTCACTGGTGAGGAGGTAATATGCTATTTTTGACAACCCTTAGGCTGTAACTACTTATTAGATCCTTCTTGCATATCTCTGTCTTCCTGAGAAACCACTTTGAAGATACCACCACATATTATAGCAGCCATTCATATTTTCCTACTAATCTATCCATAACTGTGTTAAGTTTGTAATGTTCCTATCCTATTTCATAATGTATGTTTATTATTATGTGTTTCCTACAACAACCATTGAGAATAGTTAATGATTTTTCAATAGGTCACTCATGTATAGCTCTATTTATTTTCTTTAGAAGCCACTTTGAAGATACCAAAGTATAGCACAACTACTCTTGATAATCTCCTACCTCTTTGTCTCTAACGCACTATTATTTGTCTATTTGTTTTCCTGAGAAACTATTTTGTAGATAATAATATGTAAAACAATAACCATTGATAAGTTCCTACCATTTTGTCTGTAATATGCTAAGTCCCCCCTATTATTGTTATCCTTCTTTTATTCTTTAAAATAAAAAAAAAAAACAAAATGGATTTATGCTTCTCCTCTCTGTGCACTCACTGATAAGTAATTCTAAGTAGTGCTTAATTATTATATAGTACTGCTATATTTAAAAATGTTCAGAGGGTAACCTTCTATGTCTTTTCTGCAACACAGATTCAATCAAAGGTTGTTTTGAAAACATGCTCATGTTTGTTTGAAGACATGCCCATGTTGATATACACATTGACTGAGTTTAGACAATTTACTTCCCGTTTCTATCCTGATGGGTAATGATGTTCTCTGTATTTTTTTTTTTTTTTTTACATTTGAAATACTTCTGCACCCAAATACTTCTGCACCAAGCATCTTTGCCCCTCCTTCCCTCGGCCATGCACACCTTTCAGAATTTCTGCAAAGCTACTTGGTTCTTCAGTAACCATTTCTTCATAGAAGAAATGCTACTCTTTCTTCCTTCTATTGATTCTCATTCATTGTCAAGTAGTTTTTTTTAAGGTAAGCTTTTAAAATGCATGAACAAAGCATAAACACAAATCTGTCCTACCTGCCCTGTTTAATACACCTTTTTTCATTTTTGTGGCATGCTCAGATGCTATACTCTCACCTGGATTCCTTAGCTCTTGTGAAAGTATTTTGAAGATGAATAGTGGTTCAAATAGAAGTTTCTGTGAGAGAAAGTATACTACAAAGTTCTATTCTGTCATCTTGCTGGTATCACTCTTTGGTTTTTTAAATCTGTATTTTATAAAATCTGATTATGAACTCATCTTTAGTAGTGTTATTTTCTCAGATGGAGACAATGGGCTTCTAACTCACATACCGTAAGTTTGGGGTTTGCCAAGGGTACAGCCCTTTGCAGATCACAGCTTAATGGAATGCAGTTATCTTAAATTCAAATGCACCACCTTGAACACACCCAGGCCCACATTTCTCCTTTCCTCCTTGGGTCATTAAGGGCAATTCTCGAGCTTATTTTGGGGTCTGACTATTATCCTCAGGCCTACAAATTAGCTCTAATGCTTTGGGCTCTGTCTTTCACTTGCCTTTTGACTTACAGCGTTTGGGAATTTGCTTTCTCTTATGCTTTTGCTAAGTACTGGCTTTTATTATTGGTATAGCAAGCATTTCTAGGAGTTTAAGACAAATTCTATATTTGTTAAGTTAGAGATGTTGGCAGAGTAAGAAGTCCTAATAAAACTCCTTAAATGTGAAATTAATTTTTCTATTAAAACAAAATTCTTGGGTCAGGCGTGGTGGCATATGCCTGTAATCCCAGCACTCTCGAGGTTGAGGCAGGAGAATTCATGCAAGTTCGAGGCCAGCCTGAGCTACAAAGTGAGCTCAAGGCCAGCCTGAACTGCATAGCGAGACCCTGTCTCAAAAAAACAAAAAAAACAAACCAAACAAACAAAAATTCATTCTAAATCAGTTGATACACAAGATTTAGGAATGTATAATGTCATATTATTGAGTTTGTGAATTTCCCTTTTTGGTGCTGAAACTGCATATAACTTTTAAGTAATAATGAACAGAATCAAAACTATATTGTTATAACAATTTTTATTTCCTTGATAAACTATTTTATCAGCTACTGCAAAGGCAGAATTAGAAATTTGTAATTTTGCACTTTGCTTCTAATTTCTCCTTCTGTATAAACCTGCTTGGATATATTTTTTAAAATAACTAAATAATTCTGTATTTTTAAAAAAACATTTTATTGACCTTATCTGTGTACTTTATGCCTTAATAAACATATCAACATACACAACTGTCAAAAGTCAGAGATGAAAAATTCATGTGAATGCAACTTACCACCGTAATAGTTTAAAATTCATATCAAAAGTCAGCTAGAAAAGAGAAACTACAAACCATATTGTATTCAGCAAAAAGAAATTTATGTCTACAAATAATAGAAGATACGAAGAACAATTATGGGGATAAAAATAACCGAGACACAAGTTATTGTGGGCGTACCTAGCTAAGTGCAAATAAACCAAGCTTAAAAATGCAAATAATAAAAGTATTTTATAGTAGGGTTTCCAGAGATATGTAATTGCTAAGAAAGAAATCTACAGATAAGCAGTGATTTAACCATTTATAGTATGCAGCAAATAAATTTTGTAACAGTGATGTTTTTAGATAGCTTAAGATGTCATTTAAATGAAAATAACCATTATTCTATGCTTTTCTCAGTAATAAATTCATTCTGTAGGAAGTAATAAATTATTTCCTACAGTAATTAGTTTGAATAGTGGTTTCACAGTTATAGAAAAGCTGAAAGTAAACTGAAGCCATTTTAACAATATTTAGAAATATTTCCTAGTTAAAAAAAAAAACAACAAAAACATACCAGGTTTTCACAATACCAGCTACTTTTTACCAGTCAGCAATTAATTGTGAAATATTCACCCACCGTTTACACATGAGAAATCACATTCCTGAAGGTAGCATAGTTTCTTTTGCTACGGAAGCTTACCAATGCTACATAAAACTAGCCCAGAATTGAAGGCTAATCAATACTGCAACAGGCTTCTGAAGGTTAAAATAAATTGACATTTTTGGTGTCGAATATAGGAACACAAGTGAAAAGGAACACCATAACAGAATCATTTTCTACATCCAGGGCAACTTAATAAGACATGTAACTTGAAGGTTCATAAAATCAGATGCTTTGGCCCTATACCTGGTGCTGGCGATGCTTGGTGATTCTGCTCCAAGCCTACATCTTTCTAGTTGACTGGCCACAATCTGCCTTTCCACTTCCAGTTCTCGGGTGAGTCGCTGAAACTGAAGCTCCTGTGATTCAAGGAAACAAAACGCATATAAGGAGAGGAGGTTTACTGCTCAGGCAGATCTATGAACTCATGTATGTTACAGGAAACACAGGAATATATCCACAATATAAAGCTATAGGATGGATTTATGAAATTAAAGTTTTTAATGATATCAATAACCTGATTTGTGGCTGCTTAAAACTTAAAGGTATTATAGCACATCAGCTTCTGTTTGGATTTGCAAAAATGCAGTTTTGGTGTGTTATTTTTGCTTTTTTTTGTAGGTACTAACTGAGGTCTTTTTAAACAGTATTCCTGCTGCAGTGCCATATACATTTAAGGCCCATATACATTGAGAGCTTACTTGATATGTTCACATCAAAGGCACATCAACCAGTAAATTCTTCATCCTCAATGGCTAATTTTTATACCTCTCATACTGTATTGTAAGTCCGTCCAGCAATAAAAAATGGAAATCTACATGATGAGAATCATTTAAGTATGTTTGATACAAACCATTTAACTAAGGAAAAAAATCATTCCAATCCCACAGAAAAATTCTTCTTACATTTACCTATGGCATAATCAACAAAATTTTGTTACTTCACAAATATACTCATATGCCACTGTTTGAAAACGAAAGAAGAGAGACAAAAAAATAAAAGGGATAAAGAAAAACTGAGTCATAACATGGAACTTAAAATTGTATGACTCAAAAGCTGGAAAGATTGTCTAGACAAATTATATTCTTCAACATATGTTGCATAGAGAAAGCAAACAATTTTTATTGTAAGAAAAAATGCTAACTTTATTTGCACTTCTCTTATCATTAGTATGATGGAATTTTAATAAGTAGAGTGCATGGCATACTATAAAACATCTAAAGATCAAATCAAATATATATTTAAGGCTTTAAGCCACAAAGAACAACTCTAAGAATACCTCAAGATCTACGTGCTGTATTAACATTTTACAAGATTATTCAAAGGAAATATTGAACTACAGGTAGTTTAATTTGGTAATAACTACTAGTTCAAATTACCAAGTATATGAACATTAAACCTAGAAACTTATCAGAAACAAAACTACCTAAAAGATTATTTGTGAATATAAAGAGATATTTGTCATAAATTTTGAGTAGCATACCTTGTGGTATTAGACACATGCACAATTACTTGACAGCATTGGCTATGCAAATTCTACAACCTATTCTTAAAATATACTTTAAAAACACAGTCCCTCAAATTCTTATCACTTTCTGGCATTAAGAATCCATTCCTACTAAACCCATTTGGTGTAATTGTATTGGATAAGGCATAGGAGGAGTAAAAGTTCAATAATGTGTACAATAAGGTAACAGGAACACAGGAAAATGCCCAATTCCATCTAACAATTTCTAGACAATGGCTCTTAATATGTGTTTAGCAACAAAAGATCAGATTGATACAAACTGTCTGTATAACATTCAGGAACAGATTAAGATAATCTTACAAAACAGTATTATGCTTATACTGTAATACTTCTTTGGTCTTTAATAGGACAGTTTCATATATACGTGGTATTTATGTGAAACAATGATATTATATGTAAGTCAGTCGCTCTCTCTCCTCTCTCTCTCTCTATCTTTTCCACAAGACTGGGTACATGCATTAAGCTGGGCCAGGAAAAGACCACCTTTGTAAATTCCCAGATACTCCTCAAGCCATCACATTACCTTTGTACTCTGGTTTCCGTGGCTACTAGGAATTGAGGGCTCATTTTTCTCAAATGTGGGATAGCCAAAAATCATACCAGGATAAGATTACGGAGTGCTTACATTAAGAATATAGAAAAAAAATTCCATTCGCAGAAAAAAATTCCATTGTAGTGGATTTTTAAAATCACTTTTGGGGGCATGCATATGACCTTTTAAACAACCCTTCAAGGAAATGTGTGGGAAAACTCCTGCTTAAAGGCAGAGGTGCAGCACAGTTCCCGTAATTCCTTCCCTCTGCAGAGACAGGTCTCTTTGGCTCTGCCTAGAGGATGGGGTCACGCCAGACTGTGACTCAGAAACTCTGACTCCAGCAAACAGGAAGGTCCGTTTTTTTCTTCTTCCTTCTTGCTGAACTTCCTGAATTAGGCCTCAAATCAAGATCCTCACCCAGAAATGACCTCCATACATACTCCATGTCTATGCTTGGAAATTGTCAATAGTCTCTTTACCTGACCAATTTTGTGGCACAGATTTAGATACTGTGTTTGGAAGCTCTGTCTCAAGCCTAGCTCTTCAGTCCTAACAAGTGAGAGAATTTAGTAATAATCACTTACTAAATTACTTTTCAGCTTCATTAGCCTGTTACATACAATTAGGAAACTTGATTGACACACCTACAGAAACCATGTTCAGCTGCAGAGTTGTTAGGAAAACCTAAGTACTCAAGATGTAGTTTGCATTTTCTATTTAGAAGTTAGGTGATTTCTTTAATGTTCTTATGAATGAGTAATGTCTATACTATATTACTACTTGCCTCAAAGCCCATGAAATTCAACATTACTGACTACTTTTATCAAAATCATCCTTACCTACTGTATCCACACTTCCCTAAAGTAGGACTCACTGAAATATCAAAAGCAGACCACCACAAAGCTATACTTGTAAAGCATGGAATTTAAAAATGGTACCTGACATCTGTGAACATTTACAAATAAAATATATGTTTGCTTGTTGCAAAATGATGACTATTTCCCCCACAGAATAAAAGTTGACACCCACAGCAAGACTGGCAGCAAGATGGATGAGTAGACCATAAATATTTGACAATTCTGTCTCTACTGGCTTCTTAGACTGACTGATGAGGAAGACAGCATTATGCTGTCATATAAAACACATCTAATGGTTTCCAAACTAACACTCATTAAGATGAATATGCAGAAATCAACTATAAATTTTAAATTTTTATATTTTATCTTCTAAACATAGACTGTGAAGACTGATTTTTGAATCAGTATCTAAAATCATCCATCTATATGATACGGAGCTTCTATTTATTCTCTTTTGAGAAAAGGAAATTAATGTTGAAACTGCTTAGCAATATATAGTATGTAACAATTTCTCCAAAGCCTGGCAAACAAATGTTACAAGGCTTCTCTTTATATTTACTCTATCTCTCTTATGTAAATATCCTAATGAATATTCTTTGATAGTCAATGGAATAGAAGAAAATAAGGCTTCACTTTCACAATGGAACACATATGGTACACAGAGTTGCCCTGTCCAAGGAGCCCAAGGAAGGACCTGCTGCCCTAGCTGCTAGCAGGTGGTCTGTGGTGGTCAGCAGCTCCACGGCTATTTCAATTGCAAAGAACCTCCTTGCTCCAAGGCACATTCTGTAGCCAACCGTGGACTGAGGTGGGAACAGAAGACCAGACCCATATACTTATGCACTAAGGCTTTGCCAGTCTGCATAGTATTTCCCTGTACAGTCCTGCTTTTCTTTCACAGGTATTAATCCATGATAAATATTCTGCCCAGAAAACTATCTCAGTGAAAATCCAACTGAGACAGTCTTGTGTTTTGGATTTCTTCTTCATAATATTTTTTTTCTTATTCCCAAGTCCAGTTTTTGAACATTGTGAGATACTTCATCTGTGAAACGTACTATCAGATCAGCTACAATAAATCTTAATATTCTGTTTCTTGAGAAATAAAATAAGTTTACTTCAAAATACAATAAAACCCTTTGGTTTCTCTCTCCTAGATCCTATGTTTACACAACCACACATGATCTATAGTATTGTCCTCTATATCCACATAATTTATGTAAATGGTATACTGTACCATTGTCTTAAGTTACTTTTCTCTCCTTGTGGAGACAAAATACCCAACACCCAAAGTTAAATGAGGAAAGGTTTATTTAGCTCACAGTATGTAGAGATTTCAGTCCATAATCAGCTGGCTCCAAGACAGGATGGCATGGCAGACAGGCATTGCAGAGGAGAAGCAGTTCATGCGAGCAGAAGGTAGCAAAACAACAAAGAAAGACTACAACACTTTCTATTCCTTACATCTTATCCAGGCTACTTAGTGGGCTTAGCACTCACACCCTTAATCTTAGTGCCCTTGATCCTAGCATGCACCATGAATTGATTCCAGTATCACACATTCTAGATTCAGCCACCTCTGAAAAAGCCCCACCTATGACCACACGAGGCTTTGGGGGGACATCTAGACACAAGCCATAACAATAGTTTTTTAAAATTTATTTTACTGCAATGATTTTAAGATTTACCATATCAATACATGTAGATATAGTTCACTTATTTTCACTGCTCAATAGTATTCCACATTACCATCTTAGCAGATGTGTTTATGTTTTCATTATGATCAGTCTTTATATTGTATCTAACTGCTTATACAATAAGAGCCTGCAAAAATAAGCATTCTTTATATAAGTCATTTGGCTCACTTGAGAGCCAGACTTCTCCAGAGCAGTGACCTAGAAGTACTGGTTAAAAGGTACATACATTTCTACTTAGCTTGACAATGGTTGTCAGATTAATTTTTAAGGTACTTTTACTAATTTGTATCTATTTAGCAGGGTAGGATGGGTGTAATTTGTTTACATTCTCACTGAGAATAATTTGCATTTTGAGACGTAAATCTCCCTTTTTTACAGTTCATCTTGTTTAATCATTATTTTGTGTTTTCCTGAGAGGCATTTAAGGTATTGAATCTCATAGGTGTCAATCTCTCCGAGGGAAAGTTTCAGTGCCCAGGCTTGTTCTTTTCTGTGGAATAGGTTCCTCAGTACACTTACACTAATGCAGCTTTATAAAGTTCTAGCCTTGGGCAAGGAATGCACTAGACTCCAAACTGTGTGCAGCCTTCAGACTCAGGCAGCACTAACTATCAAAGGGCAAGCTCAAGATCATGGAGCTTTGGCAGACACCTCCAAGGTAAAAGCCAGGTTTATTGCTTACTTAGCTGAGAAATCTCAGTTTCATTTGTTTTGATTTCTGTAAATACCTTCCATGATTTCT